CAGTTAGTAAACCAGTTAATCGTGATCAGGAAAAGTATGATTTATTATGACTATATAAATTCATAAGATCTATCTTTACGTTACATAAAAAAAAAGCGAGTAATTACTGAACAGAAGACGTCTTCCCCAAATAATTTCTAATCGATTCCATTCATAAAACACATTAAATATAATCGCTATCTGCTAACTTGACGCATGATAAAATTAGTTAATTACAAGAAAAATACTATTTCCTAAATGTTTATATGCTTTTCCCAAATTTCTCCAAACGATTCCAAAATTATATGGACATAAATAAATCAGAAATATTCAATTTGTCTGCTATCTTGTCAGTGGTGGATTACGATTCCGTAGGACACAAGGGACGGAATCCATAACCCCGGATCTACAATAGGTGTTTTAAGACTTAAGCCGTAAGAAACTGACGAGTTACAGTCGAATCCGAGGGGAATAATCGATTGTGATTCGTCCATTTCTTATGACTTAAGGCTTAAAACTCTATTGTAGATCCGGGGTAAACGTTGCTCAAGATTCGAGATGGTCTTAAGCTAGTAAACCAATTAGAGAGCCGTATTAGCATTTTAAGACAATAGGTCTGTTCGCGTTGCTTGCACTTTTGGCACTCGGCATCTTTGCTTTCTCTCTTTTCAATGCCAAATATATATCTATTTCATTTTAAGTGCAAAAATATTTGGGGATTTCATGCAACGCGAACAGACCTAATGGGTGCATTGGGTGCATTCAGTACTACGAACGCTTACTGAGCGCTCAGTGAGCTCTTGCATCTGTTTGGTCTATGGCTACGTTTACACCGTACGATTGATAGCGACCTGACCTATATCGTGACCCAAAGTAGGTCTAGTAACTAACCGTTTACACCGAAAGGGACTTAAAAATTGATTCGGTCATATTTAGTCTACGCTGGTCCGAATTAGAGCCATCTATCGTATTTTGTACAAATTATTTCCATATACAGCATTGTACTCGCGAGTGCATTAGTTGAGGAGGTTAAATAACAGTGTTTGTCAATGACATTCGAAATGTCACATTTCAAAAAATACATTATATTTTTAAAAAATTATTAATAATCCCCCCCAAATTTCCCAACTTAAAAACTGTAATAAACTTATTGCGAAAAATAATGCCTCGGCCTGGAGTCGAACCCGGATCTCTTGCATTCCGTGCGAGCGTCCTAAGCCTTTAAACTACCGAGACCTTAGCATTATTCTTCGCAATAATTGATATATATAGAGAGTTACGCATTTCTCGGCGCGCGTGTATAAACAATAATAAGATTGAAAGACCGCTAATGTTAAACATAATGCTAATGATAATTGCGTGATATCATTTCTGAAATTAATTCATTTAAATGAATTTACAATAGTTCAACATCTTAACGTTCTGACCGTTATGGCGCTTCTCAATTTAAAGTATTATGTTTAACGTTAGCGGTCTTTCAATCTTATTATTAACTGCGTTCAGCAGACTCAACAGTTTTGCAACCGTTTTATGATTGTCTGCTGAGATAGGACCATTCTTCTAGATCTAAAAGTATGATCCAATCAGCGCGAAGGAAACTTCCAACAGTTGCAAAACAAACGTTCTGCTGAACGCAGCCATTATTTTTATAAAAATTTATTTTATCTAAAAAAAGAAGAAATATTCGTTCTTTGAAAATTATGCGAAAAACTTGGATTCGACAATTGCGCAGGAGGCAGAAAGTAATGTTAATGGAATATGTGAGGATGTTTTCTATGTCTATCATTTTGGAAATGTATTTTAATATGATACACGTTGAAAAAAGCATATGAATGAAGCCGAAAAGCAATCAAAGCTTTTAGGTCGGGTCAGTCGCGCGTTTACACCGAGAAAGCAGACGACCTATTTTAGGTGAGGGCGCTAAAAAAATCCGGCCTGACCTACAACAGGTCGGGTCAGATATCAGAGTGTTTACAGCGTGCGGCCTAAATAATGTGACTTAAATTAGGTCGAATTTGGGGTATAGGCCGTGGACTAAACGTACGGTGTAAACGTAGCCTATATTTTTAGTTCTAACGGTCCGGAATATACCAATAAGATGCAAGCGTTCACTGAGCGCTCAGTGAGCTCTTGCATCTGATTGGCATATTCCGTTAAAACTAAAAATATAGACCAAACAGATACAAAAGCTCAGTGAGCGGTCGTGGTACTGAATGCACCCATTGCTTGAGATTAAGATCGGACTATGGATTCCGTCCAAGGAGGTAAAACACACGTAACGTTACCCCGGATCTACAATAGAGTTTTAAGCCTTAAGCCATAAGAAATGGACGAATCAGTCGATTATTCTCCTCGAATTCGACTATAATTGGTCAATTTCTTACGACTTAAGGCTTAAAACACCTATTGTAGATCCGGACTTACGGACGCAATACCTAATAACTTTTGCAGACATCCGGTGCGGATTACGGATTACAGGCTGTATGTGACGGCATCCTTATTCCCTGTTCTTATTGCCTTTGCTTTTCATTGTGTTTAAAGCCTAAAAATTCACCAATCACAGTCGGATATTCTTCTCATATTCAAGTGTGAGGGTACTTCCCCTTGATAGTCGGAATTTTGAAAAACAGAATCTCGGAAAAGTATTACGACTAATTAGAATCATCCGTTTGTATAATGTGCTTAAACAATTGATTAGTCGTATGACTTTTTCGAAATTCCGACTGTCATGGGGAAGCACCCTGATTGGTTAATTATTACAAGTATGTACTACAACACATTTAGGCAATTGTAGTCGGGCTTAAACTACATAGCAATATTGGTCGCAATAATAAAATATGCTAATCAGATACAAGAGCTCACTGAGCGCTCTGCGCTTCTGGATGCATTCAATGGTCGCGTTCAGCAGACTCAACTGTTGTGGAGCGAATCCGTGGGCGCTCACTGCCATTAGTGTATTTTTTTAGATTATCCAATAGCAGCGAGGGCTCACTGATCCGCTCCGCAACAGTTGTCTGCTGAACGCGACCATTGGATGCATCCAGAAGCGCAGAGCGCTCAGTGAGCTCTTGTATCTGATTGGCATATTCCATTAGATTTAAAAATATAGATCAAACAGGTACAAGAGCTCATTGAGCTCTTGCATCTGATTGGCATATTCTATTAGATCTAAAAATATAGACCAAATAAGTACAAAAACTCGCTGAGCACTCATGCTGGAGTCCCATGAGACGTACTTGCCACGTAACCAATCAGAAAAGATCTGCTGCTGTTTCGTATCTTACTGATTACTGATTGGTTATGCGATACGCGGCAAATACACTTCATAGGACTCCACCATCAGTGAGTGATCGCGTTTCTACCGTTTCTGAATGCACCCATTGATGAAGCAGTGAAAAATGACTAGGAACAGTGCAATGTGAATGAGGCCGGAATCAGACTATGCATTGAAGATTGAGATTGAAGATTGAAAAATTCAAATTTAACCAATCGAAACGAAAGGAGCTAAAATTTCTTTGTCCTTATTGGTCAAATTTCAATGTTCAATCTTCAACTTCAATCTTCAATACGTAGTCTGATTCCGGCCTGATGTATGCAACTGAACTGTGTGCAAGTGCGCCGCTCCCCCAATTTAGTTAGAAATAAAGTGGCGTCCATAAAGGATACGAAGGCCCGTATTTAGAATGCGCTTTTATCGATAAAAGCGCGCTTTTATCTCTGAAATTCTATAATATGCGTGACGTAAAGTATAGTATGTTAGCGCGCTAACATCGTTGTAAGCTCGTTCTGAATACGAGCCGAAAAGATTATAATTTGGATCATGGAATTGTGATATAATTTTTATGAGGTGATTTTGTGTGTTTTTTTTTAGTAAACTGTCAAAAATTTAATGTATAGAAGAAGGTAAAACATTTTTTATTGCTTAATTTGATAATTATCCGAAAGAACATCTGCGACGAAAAATTTTTAGTAGCAAAACAATGGGTGCATTCAGTATCACGACCGCTCACTGAGCGCTCAGTGAGCTCCTGTCTCTGTTTGGTCTTTATTTTTAGTTCTAACGGAATGTGCCAATAAGATGTAAGCGCTCAGTGAGCGATTGTAGTACTGAATGCATCCTATGGTAATGCATTATCTAGTCAAATAACTGTTTTTTACAATCTATGTATTTTATATATTGTAATAAAATAATTTAATTATTAACATGTAAGTTGAAAAAGTTTTTCTTTAGTTTTCGGTTCACCATATTCAAATTATGCTGTGCTTGGAAGAAAGATTCAACAGCAATTGGTTGCGCCTTTCCTAGTCAATGAGAATGGAGACATCATTGGCTGGACTCCTATTTCTAAGGTCTCTAGTGCAGTCTAGTGCAGGAATAGAAAAAACAACCACTAATATCACGTTATTTAGAGGAAAGTGAAACTGCGCATGCGCAGTTCGATCGATCTCTAATTTAAAACGTTAGTAAATAAAAAAATTCCTATATAATGATTTTGGTTAACGTCCAATGTCGTTTGGTCTATTTGTCATTTGTAGAATACATGGACTTGAAATCATTGAAATCACAACGGTTAAGCGAGGCAAAATATCATACGAAGAGTATCATTGATAATTGACAAGGTTCTCTCTGACGGAGGTAATCGATAAGCGAGAAAGTAAAGGTATCTTTTCATGCTGACCCTCGACGCTAATTTTGAATCAAAACAGATTATTTAATCAAAATTGCCGTTTGATATTCATCAATTTCAACCACGTGGCTTATTTTGATGCTAAAAATTAATATCGAGCGTCAGCATGAAATTTTACCTTAAACCAAAGACTTTACGATGAAACGAAACTCTCTAGAAGGAACGTACATACTACGGTATGTACATATACACGTTTGGACTAGGATGTACGTACGTATATATATATATATATATATATCATACATATCATGATGCGTATATATTTATTATATATATATGATGGCGTGATTGGCGTGCACACCGAAGTGATCTAGTTAGAGAAGAAAAGATAAAAATCCAAGGAAGTGGACGAACACTGAATGTGTCCTCTCATAACCTTCAAATCTGTATTTTCGTACTTGTATCTTCGCGAGACGATACGAAGCGACAAATTTGTTGGCCTTATTCACTTTCTGCACAGCTGATCGTTCATTTACACGAGATTTGCGCGAGATCGGTGAGAAATGATTTTTCGTAAGTCTAAACCTACATGCTTTGCTAAGAGTTTCAGGAGCGAGGAGAAGAACGGTAACGTTATCAGCAACAGATGCTGCTTGCGCGAAAGATACGTCAACACCGTATAATCGAGAACGCGATTAATGCCATTTAAATTCGTTATGATTCATGGAGCTAGCGACGCTCCATGTGGTTTCATGGATTTCATGACTTTTAGAAAATTTGAAGATTGCACTTTGATACTAAGCATGCTTAATCGCTACAAGAAAAAAAAATGAAATTCATGACACAAGTTACTATGCTACAAAATTTTCTCACATAATCTTATTTTTGAAAAATACTTGTGTGTGTATGTGTGTGTGTGATTTTGTGAGGTAAAAACTGGAATAACACCTAGTGAAAGAAATATGGGTGTTTTGAATTGTATTGTTTTTCGATACTAAATACAAAATAATATATTTTGTATGTATAATTGAGAATATTTGGATCATATAACTTTGTGCTTTACCTTATGTAAGTAATAGTCTCTTGTGTGCATTAGTATTTTATATGTATTTATCAGTGCTGATAAATATTGTAGAAGAAAGGTTCTTGATCAAAGCTCCCTTTTATATATATATATTTGATATACATATATATATAAAATATATTCTATTAATTTTCTTATTATAGTATGTGAAATGTGTATTTTTTTAAATATACACTTATCTATAGTGTGAATTATTATCTGAATGGATAGTACAAATAAGACTATACAATTTTTTTCTTTACTAACAACTTTTAATACTTTTTAATCTGTAATGTTTATTTTGATTTATAATTATGTGTGAGCAATTTCATAATTAATGATCTTTTCTAGATGACCACAGGTTACACATTTACTAAGTGTGGGTCATGCAGACCACTTGCAGAGTAATGTAATGAATAGCTGTGGGAACTCTAATACTAGCACGAGGCTACGTGGTTCCAAGTGTGCCGAGACTCAAGACGAGTCTATAAATCAGGGAGGAGATATAGAGAAAGAAGATAGTGGCGTGATAAGTGGTTATAGTGTAAATGATCTTAATGTACCACGCAGCACTTTGGTCATTTGTCAGCGAAACTCCAACTACTCTTCAGATTACGGTTTTGCAAGATTTAAGCCAAGGTATCATCATTTTTGTTTCAATTGTACTCTTGTCATGATATCTAGTAAATTAAGATAATTAAAAAGAAATAATTTGCAACAGACTTAGCGGTGTTCCAAGAAATGAATTTCGAATGGCACGTGGCGGTAGCTCTACAGATCGTGCTAGGGGTGGAACACGTGGGAGGGCTTTTAAAAAGACCCTCAATGATCGCGAATCGAATTCAGAGTCCAGCTATCACTCTACATCTAGATCCAAGTTTCAAGAATCGTTGAAAAATCATGAGAACGCACAGGGCAAATACTATGATGATAAAAGAATAAATGGTAATTTATTGCATTTATATGAATAATATTTGTGCCTGTTCTGCTAGAATTTTATTCTTTAAAGAAATCTCTGCTTGTTTCAGAGGACTCGAGAATTTCTAAGCTTTTGCGACGATTATGTCGTGAAGATGATTATGATCATCTCATGGTACTTTGCAAGCAAGTGCAAGAAAGTATCGTCGCACATGAAAATCAACGATACATACGACGAAACTTGGAAACTATTTGTGAAAGTCTGTTAGATTTCTTGCATTCTGGTCCTGGTCAGGAGGCAAAGCAGCAGGTTGCAAAATGTTTGGGTCGAATTGGATATGTGGTGGAACAAGATTTTAAAAGGTATGTGCACATTCAAACATAATATGAATATGTAAAAGATATATATTCTGTATCTCTTTATTCCCCTAACACACATGTGATTTAACAGTACAAAACTTGTTTGTATGTTTCTAGATATATGGATTGGATCTTTAATAAATATTCATTAGAGCATAAAGATGATGTGAAATGCCTGTTAATGAAGTCACTTATCGAAACGCTCAAGATGGACTCTGAGATATCAAAATTGAAAGAATTCTCCATGGTAAATATAAACATTTATATACATATATATATATATATATATAAAGAATCGCAATAATTTCTAATGTTTGCTTTTGTTTCAACATAACAATGGATATTAATCAATTTTTCATATTTTTATTACAGCCGATGATGTCCCAATTACAGTCAATATTAGAGAATGTCGACAGAGCAGACTTACTGGTAGCAACTGTGGATGCTATATTACTCATCATAGATTCTTATCCAGAAACGTTCACGAACCACTTCCGCGATACTGTGGACATACTTGTGGGTTGGCACATCGATTCCACGCAACAAAAGTCAGTTGTCATTTATGCGAGTCGATGTTTGCAAAAGTTGCGCTCGTTCTGGATAGCGGATCTGCAGTTTACTCTAACGTTACTAGGCCAATTTTTGGAGGATATGGAAAGCTACGACGAAGAATTGAATTCGCCCGAATCCGGTCGTACTTCGCCCGGTGATGATGGATCCCCAACACCGAGGGAATGCATTCTGCGAATTACGTCGTTAATATCCGTCTTTAATACAGTAACAAAGAGCATAGCCGAGCATCTGAATCCAAATCTTGCACCCAACGTACAATGGTCTTTTCTAACGAATTGTTTATCGAAAATGCTAAAGACCGTTGTCAAAGCGATCGAATTGGAAGAAGAGAATGACACTTGGCTCAAGATATCCAATGATCCAGAAAACTTGATCAAATATGTAAGAAACATGAGTTCGTCGCAAGAACGTGTTGAAATACTTTCCAAACATTTTAGTAAAGACGACGTTACTGAGGAAAATCTTATTAAGATGATAAAGTCATTGACTATAAATAAAAAAAATGATAAGAAGAATCTCAAGATAGCTTCTGACAAAGGAAATGCTCTGTCCAGGGAGAAAGGACAGTTGTTAATGAATGTAATGCGATCGATGGAACCAAAAGTCAAACAGATTGAAAACTTGTCGGAAGAAAAGGAAGAATTGATTGTAGTCGCGAATGAATGCGCCTTCTTGCTCCTTGGTTATCTTCAAAGTCGAATAACAAAGAATCACGAGCTTCTCTATAAATTTATCGATCTTCAGTTACAAAGAATTAACATCTTTTGGGACGATACCATTATTTCCATGTTGAATATCATATCAAAAATAATAAAGGAGGTATCTGCGAACCTGCCATTGGAGTTGGTGCACACATTACTTGGCAAGAATTCGATGCTGCTGAAATTAAGATTCCGAAATTCCATTACCATTCAAAACGCGAGTTTGAGCGTATATCACAGTCTTCTGAGCCTAAAGAATATTCCACTATTACAGGAATCTTATCGCTATATATTAGCGGATTTAGAGATAGCTTACAAACTTATACTACCCGATATAGATATTTTAGTTGCAGACAATCCGTTGAACGATTTGCAATATACAAAGAGCGACGTTGAGATTATAGTTACTTTCATACTACGTGCGCTTTCGGACATAGGTGAGCAGATACACGCCGCTATAATTAGTAAATGAGTTCTAAAAGAACGTCTAAGACAACGTATAATACGCTTTCACATCTTTTCTTTTAGCAAACGCAAGTAATTCGATTATTGGAATGTGGGCTTTAAAGCCCAGTATCTTGGAACTTCTTGCAGTCAAGTTAAAACCGTACAATACTGCATTGTCTATAGCGAGTCCGTTTTTGCAATATAATATTCTGTATTTGCTCTATGCGCATTGTTCCAGGTAGAATGAAACTTTACTCTTATTACTCTCTTTCGATAGTTTAACGAATGAATATATAATTTTAATGTGTGTGTCGATTTTTGTGTGTGTGTGTGTGTATGTTAACAGGTACAATCACTTCGTTTCAAGCTCCAGCTTGATAACAGGTACTACCGCTTCTCGCCCGATGGATATGTTTCCCGGGACTTTAGATGTACCGACTACGTCACCAGCCAGCGGTCATTTGTCTATAATTCTCAATTTAATAGCAAAGACATATAACAAAAATACGCCCGCATGCACTTTACTCCTTTTGTCCACCTGGTTGCAAGAGATTTGCGTACAATCTGAGAAATATATTGGAATCTTGAGCGAAACTCAACAACGAATGACGATGTTGCGAGCGCGGCATGCAATCTCTTCGAAATGTTAATGACCGCAAAGGATGTCGTATGGAAGCAAGAGACCTACTTGAGTATTGTGGACTTAGCGACTTTGCATTTGACTTCGTGCAACAAAACGATCCGCGAAAAATACGGCGCTCTGTTAATGTGTATGCCCATTAACATTGTTTTATCAAAATTGAACAAACAGCATTTATTCTCAGACACCAAGGTAAGTGCAGTCTTTCTGAATGGAGCATCGAAACTTGTCGGGTTAACATCTTTTTCTCATTTCATATTTAAATGACGTTTTCTACATTTAAACGTTGTTGACTGTTGTGGTGTAGAAGGTACGAGAGATCGTGACTTATTCGACAGAATCGTTGATTCTCGCTCAAAGATTGCACATGCGAAGTAACAACAATGGGGAATTGTTGGCGCAGCATTTCAAAACGTACATGGCGTTTCTACTGCAAGAACATTATCTCGACGCATCTGGATTATCGGAAATATTTACTTTATGTTGGCCAGCTGTGTAAGTACTTTTTACCTTTACCCGAGATTGCTTTTTCTTTCACAAAAACGCGTTTTTTTCGTGATAATTTCGAGATTATTTTTTCTTTCACGAAATGTTTCTCTGTGCAGACCAGAGAACGGAACTACAGCGAAGATGTATGATTTGGCGTTGGCGAATTGTTCGTTTCTGTTTTTCTGGAGCGGTTTCGAGGCAGCGCAACATTGTGTCCTCAACAAGCTGCGCACTTCTCTGGGGAAGCCACAGGAAACGTTTACGTCGATTGAGAGTGCTCTGAAGATTCTGGCTCGCGAGATATCGTGCCACAACCTGGACATGGTGAAGAAGCAGGGATTAGAAAGGCAGGAATTAGATCGCATCTTGCACGAGCACACGCGAGTACGACTCTTCGTCGAGTTCCTGGAACATCTAGAAAGAGTGATTCACAATGCGGCCGATGGTTGCGCGATGGCGCTCTTACCACTGTCAAAACCGGTCAGAACCTTCTTCCATACGAACAAGTCGACGTGCAAGGAATGGCTGAATCGTATACGGTTAGCCTTATGCGTAGTCTCGTTGCACTCCGGCCTGGCGACGAGTGCGCTGCGAAACGGTCAGAGATTACTAGAGGATTTGAGCAATGCTGATAATACGCAAGGTATCGAATTTGAGAGGGCAACATTGTGGACTACACAGGCGATGGTTGCGCTCGGCGAAGCGGAGGCGTTGCAGGGCCTCTACGTTTACACCAAGAGCAAGGACAGACAGTTCTCGTGGTTGAAAGCAGCGATGGAGGAGGCCGCCGGGCGTTACGAGTCAGCGGCGGATGCCTACAAGCAGATCATCGACGATCACGATCATGTTAAAACAAATGATGATGAAGGCGGCAGAACCGCGAGACTTGAGAGCGACAGTCAAGTGCTGGGCTTCTGCATGCAAAGACTTTCCAATTGTTATAAAGCGGTTAGTGACTGGTCTGGATTAGTGGAATGGAAATCACGAGAGACCGAGATGCTGACGCAAGACAATTATGCCGTCCTGAGAAAGCAAATTGCAGAAAATATTGTTCCGCAGCAGGCGGATTGTCTGAAAAAGTTTGAGGAGGGCAAGCTGATCTCCTTGGACGAGTTGTCGAATTGGAACTTGCTGGAGAAGAAAAGTAATTGGAGCTGTGCGAAAACGTTGGCTGCGTGCAGCAACAATTTGACGAACGTTGCGCTGAGAATTCGCCTTAACGAATTCGACGATCCGTTTGACGATAGTATTATCGAGAGATGCCAAAAGGTTGCGGCCAAGGTGATGCAGGACGGATTGCGGAATGTACCATCGGAGTATCTCAGTGATGCTATACTGCTCCAGTATTCTGCAACGGGGCTGAAGAACATATCGCGCGGCAAAAAAGACAAGAACGTTTTCGAATTATACAAGGTTGATAAAGTGAATAATATCAATTCGAACATTTTAACGCAAGTCTTGTGGTGGTCCGAGTATCTGGATCAGGCATGCGACAGCGGCTCTACGGAGGTGGACAGTCTACGATTACATGTTGTCAGAATGGCCAGGAAAGAAGGCAACTTTAATTTAGCGAAACGAGAGATGGTCAAGTACTTGAAATCGGAGCAAGACCTCATTCGACTGGAAAATCCGACCGCTTGTACTTTTACTGAGATCACAAGCGGCATGCTGAACGGGCCTATCCACGTGAAATGGACTAAGAGTAGTATGCGCGCATTCAGAGAATTGTCGAAATTATTATATGACATGGAGAAGACGAGCGAGGCTTTGAGGATGTGTTGCGTGACCGCGTTGGGAATCTCTCAAGCGATCGTTAGTGGCGAACAGTCTGCTGATTTGCGAGAAACGGGAACTAAGCTCTTGCTTACCCTGGGTAAGTGGATACAACAGGACACAAACGTGAACGAGAATCTTCAATTGGAGGAATTGCTCCGATTCGAAGCTATGCACAACGACGGCTTGATGGACAAGCTGTTTGGCGAGACGATCGATCTGATTCCTACGTCGGACATGATAATCGGTAAACTGATGCAACTTGGCGTGAATCAGTGTCCGGATCTGCCGCGTGCCTGGTCCAGTTTTGCCGCTTGGTGTTACAAGTGGGGCCGGAAAATCGTGGACAACTCCAACTCTGGTCAATTGACGGATACTGATCGGATAAACATACAGTCCTTATTGCCGATGGATATAGCCGAAACTGATCTCAACACCATTTTCTCTATACTAAGCCAGAACAAAACCATACCTGAGGACGAGGGCGATATCGACATGAACGACATAAACACATCTGACATGATAGAGAATCAATTGAGGAATGTGTCGGTCTTGAGCCATGCCAGCAACGAACATCTCGGTATGCTGGTCGACATTTGGCGACAGGCGCAGAAGAGGATCTATTCGTATTACGAGCTTTCGGCGAATGCGTACTTTAAATACTTGCAATTAGCGAATAATGACAGCAACGAGTGCGACACCATCACGGCAACGTTGAGATTACTGAGACTCGTGGTGAAGCACGCTCTGGAGTTGCAGAATGTCCTCGAAGCCGGTCTCTCGACAACCCCGACTGCGCCATGGAAAGAGATTATACCGCAGTTGTTTTCGAGACTCAGTCATCCCGAGGCATACGTGAGGACTCAGGTATCCGAGCTGTTGTGTCGAGTGGCGGAGAATTCGCCGCATTTGATCACGTTCCCGGCGGTGGTGGGCGCGGTATCCGGTCAGAAAAAAATGTACGACAAGGTCGTTTACGAAAAGCCCGACGACAATGATAGCTCGCAGAATGATACAGATAATTTGAACGCTGCCATGGAGGAACAAGAGGAGAAAGAAAGAGAGGAGAATGATGACGGAGAAGAGGAGGACGAGGAGGAAGAGAAGGAAGAAGAGGAGGAGGAAGAAGAAGAGGAGGAGAAGAAAGAGGACGATGATGACGACGAAGAAAAAACAGCAGCAGAAGCAATTGCATATAACGACGAACATGAGAGTTTTATGGATTCCTATTTCTCGCAGTTGGTCGATTGTCTCTCGAGTCGCATACAGGATTCGGTGATTCAAGTGAAGGTGCTGGTGAAGGAGCTCAGACGAATCACATTGTTGTGGGACGAACTGTGGTTGGCAACATTGTGTCAACACCATACCGAGATTACCAAACGATTCGAGCAGCTAGAGATTGAGATTCAGCGGGTGCAGGACAATATCTGGCTTACGCTCGAAGAGAAGGATAAATTGATCGCGGAGAAGCATAGGATTATTTTGAAGCCGATTACATTTATATTAGAAAATCTCCTATCTATGACGTCCGTACCTGCCGAGACGCCGCACGAGAAGACCTTTCAGGAAAAGTTTGGCGCTTCTATAGAGGAGGTGATAAATCGATTGAACAATCCCAAGAATCCAGCAAAGCCTCAAATGGCCAGTTTGGCCTTGAAACATTTGGAAACCAAGTTAGCGCAACGCGTGCACCGACGAGCCGCTTATTCTCTGTCAATGATGGACATCAGTCCTATTCTGGCCAATCTGAAGGACACCCGTATCGCCATGCCGGGCGTCGCTGCCGTCGATAATAAGATCGTCACCATTATGTCGGTGGACAATAATGTTCAGATTCTACCAACGAAGACAAAGCCTAAAAAATTGATATTCCACGGATCCGACGGCCACGTTTATACGTATTTGTTCAAGGGACTAGAGGACTTGCATCTGGATGAGAGGATAATGCAATTCCTGAGTATATGTAACACCATGATGTCAAAGAATAGCGATACCAAGGTCTACAGGGCGCGGCACTATTCAGTGATCCCGTTAGGTCCCAGATCCGGTCTCATTCAATGGGTCGACGGCGTTACGCCACTGTTCATACTTTATAAGCGATGGCAGCAGCGCGAGTGTGCCGTGATCAGCAAGACCGGTGGTGGCAATTCTGCGATTATGCGACCGTCGGAACTGTTTTACAACAAGTTGACGCCGTTGTTGAAAGAGTGCGGGATCGGTTTGGAGAACCGAAAGGAGTGGCCTATTCATGTGCTGAAAAAAGTTTTGGAGGAATTAATGAGGGAGACTCCGAAGGATCTACTGGCAAAGTTAGTTGTACAATAATAAAAACGGACATTAGCGTACTTTTCAATTGGATCTTTCGACATCTATTCTCTCTCTTTCTCTCTCTCTCTCTCTCTCTCTCTCTCTCTCTCTCTCTCTTTTTTCCGTGTTTATTTTTCTCATATCTTCCCTTTTCCAATATGCATTGCAGAGAGATCTGGTGTAACAGTATCAACGCCGGTAGCTGGTGGCAAGCTACCAAGAACTACTCATATTCCGTTGCGGTAATGTCCATCATTGGCTACATCATAGGTTTAGGCGACAGGCATTTGGACAACGTTCTCGTTGATCTTAACACCGGCGAAGTTGTACACATTGATTACAATGTCTGCTTCGAAAAAGGAAAAACTCTACGTGTCCCGGAAAAGGTGCCGTTCCGCATGACACCAAATATTAAAACGGCTTTAGGAGTAACCGGGGTCGAGGTAAGTTTTCTGATAACTTTATCGAGAGACTCTTCTTCGATAAGGTGAAGAAATAATGAATAGTTGGTACCTTTTGATTCTAGTTGTAATAGAAGTCTAATTACGATTACGAAATTTTAATACCTTCGGAAATTGCATCGATTTTGGAAATTTTTGCATTGCACTCGAAACATTTTAATTTTGTACCAGACGAGTGTCTCTCGTGTTTACAATTCTTTATATGTATAGTTGTTACATTTATAATTTCTTTATTTTAATATTTTCAGTTGAGAGAGAGAGAGAGAGAGAGAGAGAGAGAGAGAGAGAGAGAGAGGGGGGAGTATACATTGAAGGAAAATGAAATAATTTACAATTTGTTCCTCTATTAGAGATAGCTTTTAAATGATGAGACGAATGATATTTAAAAAATTGTGTTTTCTATTCTGTTTTCTTCTGCATGATCAGATTGGAGATCGGGTGAACATTTATGCGAATTTCTTCCTGTATTTGTCTGCTGACTGTCTTGTACATCTGCCTGGTTATTTAACTTGCGTTGTTTTTCCAAGTACATTTTGAAACTTGAGTTGAAATTGCTATTGGGCGATTTAAAATGTAAAATCTTTTGAAAGGCCTTACGAAAGTTGGTGTTTTTCCACGCGTATATGAAAGGGTTCATTCCGCTGTTGGCGATGGCCAATGCGAACGTAGATTTGTACCAAATCGTCAACGACTTTGTTTTCCAACCAAAAGTTCGCATGCAAACTATGACGAAATAAGGAAACCAACAGATGGAAAAACAGCCCAATATCAGCAGTACCACCTAATTCGAATATTATTGTTATTATAATTACTCGTTAATCGCTACACTTGTAAAACTTTCAATTCATCTCTGCAGCTTTCAGTTTTCTGTTATACCTTGATTTAAAACATTACATACTATACCTGTACGCTTTTACGATCGTTTTTCTCAGTGATGTTCGGAATGATACCGAGATTCATACGACGCGCGTGCATATGCGCTTCTCTCCAAATTTTCCAATATAGCAGAAACATTGCTATCCAACTGAGAAAGAATGCCGGCATCTGTATAGCCACTATGTAATATCTATCAAAATAATGTATTAATTTATAATATATTTTACAATCACGCGTGAGCAGCTGCTTTGAAATAGTAAACTGATTAATCAAAAACAATAAATTTTTTTACGGCAATTATCGTGAAATGTGAAATAATATTACGCAGCTATCATGGTTACGCACAGAATATTGACTGGAAAACGAAGAATCGATAGAATAGTGGTAGATGTGGTACCTCGGCAATACCGTTTCCAATTCACACGAGTGTGACTTATCGAACCGATTCCAATATATCGGAATCGATGACACACCCATAGTGCATATCCAAGCGACGACTATAATCAGCAGCACGCGTCTTTTGGTCGCGTATGCGTTATAGCTCAATGGATGCACGATAGCGACGTATCGGTCTATGGCGATCACTATGATATTGTATATGCTCCCGCCGCACGCTAAGGTAAACATGACGAAACGCGAGATGCACACCGATTTGTTGCGGTGTAACGCACTATCCACGTAAAACGCCAAATGATACGGAAGCGTTATGCCTACCATAAGATCCGACATCGCTAGGTTTAGGATAAAGTAATTCGAAACGACGCTTCGGAGCTTACGAGCCCACGCGATGGCCAATATTGTGAGGATATTCCCCAATATGATCGCAACAAACAGGAAACAATCCAACAAAATCCAAAATACGTCACTATTCTGTTCATTATTGGTGCTGTTTGCTTCCGACAAATCGGCCGTGTTCATTTCAGTAATGTTGCTTTCCTCCAAATACACAGTTCTGAAAAGAAACTTGAAATTTACATATATACGTACATTATATGCGCGCGCGCGCGTGTGTGTGTATGTCTGTGTGTGTGCGTGAGACTGTGAGTGAGACTTGTAGAATTTTTTAAGTTGCCATTTGAATTTAAACATATAACGTTCCTTTTTATGGCTTGCCATTAAAGTTTCTCTTAAAAATGATCAAAGAACATATATAATAATAACTGTTTTAGGAATAAGAAAAACTTGCATCTGGATGCATCCATTTACAGAGAAATTAAATTGAGGATATGTCTTTGTGGCACTCTTTATACATTAGTCATGGCTACTTGTGTTTTACGAGATCGTTTTCTGTTTCGTAAAACCGATAAAACCATCGGAATGACTTCTACACTAAAAATATGAAATATGTGAAAAATGATCAGTTAATAGTCAGTTAATATTGCTAATACTACAATACTTACCTTTCGTACGCACACGCGTACATACACACGGAAAGAAACGGATTTTCGATGGTACTCTACGAAATGTCAAGATACACCGCGAACTGTGCATTACGATTACGTAAACCTATATCGAAATATTCGAAAAACAAATTAATTTCCGCCAATACATATAATTTCCAAATACATATAAGAAATTCTGGGAAAATAAAAAATATTATAATAATACCTCGCGTTTGTTTTGTCACTTTTTAGAGGAAACAAGTCATTATTTGGAATGTAGTTTAATTGTTAACGATGCGGCGTTAGCCTTCACAATAGCTGCGATATCTTTCGATGAGAGCGTAGATCGATACAAAACGATTCGGCAGATACGACACGCTGATGGTACCCGCTCGTTCAGAAGTGCTTTTACTTATCTACTCATCTGGTGGTTCCCCTGGCAAAGAAAGAACTGCCATATTAAACTACGGCAGCCGGCGCTATCAGCGGCTCGTTCGCAATCGTAAAAGGTCAATGGGAGATGAACGAATGCATAATCATGAGTAGTCGTGTTAATAATTATTGTATTCTGCAGCAATGCCCAGCTATGAATGGTATATAATGGTAGAAATCGCTATTTATGTCTAGGGTATATTTAGATTCGCTTCCGAGCATACTCTAAGAGTGATGCGTAGAGGCCGCGAGACGCTGTTGACCCTGTTGGAGGCTTTCGTCTACGATCCTTTGGTAGATTGGCGGGCGGGCGCGGACACGAGCATAGCGAGTTACGGTGCTTGCCAGGCCAGAGCGAGATGCACCGGCGTTGGAAGAAAACAACTGGAGCAGGAGCTCACGCGTGCAATGTTTGCAGTAAGAACGGCGGAGATGCGCGCCGAGTGGCTAGCTAATCGGTGAGAGAACAACGAAACTCAATCTTCTTTACGTACTTCAACCTATCTTTTTTGTATCGTTATTTGCATTTATTCTCGTTTGTAATAACTTGTACTTTCATGGGATGAAATCAGAGATGAATTGGCTAAAACTTTGCCGCTGCTGTGCCATCACTTGAACAGCTGGATCGAGGCGACCGAAGCGTCACGTCAGTGCCAGGATTTACTGCAGGATCGACATCAGCAGCTTGCGCTAGTGAAAGAAGCGCAGGCGATCGGTCGGAATCACGCGTTATATTCGCTAGTTAAGCGATACAATTCGTTCAAACGAGCGCGAGATTCTCACGAGAAAGCAAAGGCAGGCTTGAAGGAGAAGATAGAGGAGTGCGAGAAACAGATAAATATGCATAATGTGAGTTCGCGCTCTTGAGCATAATCGCAATCACCAATCTGATTTGCGTTCCCGTAAATCAGATTGATCTCGATTGTAATGTTTTTTCAATATTTTGATGATTTTTTTTTAGATCGCGCTGGCTGCAGTACGAGGATCCCAACTAGGACAGTGGCTGGCGGAATTGGGAAACTTGACCAATCAACAAGATCACGTAGTGTTCGATCTTGTGAAGGAATTTCTGCAAAACGCCGGACAAAGTCAGATGATAGTGCAATGCGAGCAGTCGGAGAACGAGCTGATGCAACTGGCTACCGACCAGGCCTTCTCCATAAGCAAATGTTTAGAGCTGTTGAGCCAATATTCCGCCATCTGCAACCTGTACCCTCTAAGCATTCTGTCGCAACACCGTGCCGTGCTCTATCACACTTGGGCGAGCGAGCTGTTAGCCACGGGTACCGTCGAGGCATGTCACGAAATCATGGCGCGGTTCGAAACGAGTCTAAATCCAATCAATCCGAACAATCCGCAGGGTCAGCAGATAATAACCTTTTCGTATCAGATGGAAGCGATCTTGAATGAGTCTAGCGAGAGATACAAGAAAGCTTATGAGAGGACAGTATCCCAAGGCTTACCGGAAGCCGGCAATAGAATTGAGAAGGCGTATGCTGAGTCAAGAGCACAGATTACCGGATTTTTGCGGCGGGAAAAGGGTGCGGAGAAAGCGTTCGAATGTGTCAATATCACCGCGCTGTGTTCCTTGAACATGCGATATTTGATGATGGAGGGCGCTGCCAAGTGCGCCGGAGATTGTTTAGTGGATCTTACATCCCGCGAGGGGGACTGGTTCCTGGACGACATGCGTCTGGTGTCGTCGTTGATTGTCGAGTTTATCACGCTGATACCAGAGAGCCACAAGACGAACAACACCGATCCCAAGATTGCGTTGATATTCAAATGCCTGAGAAGCGCCGATTGTATTTACAAGGGTCTACAGGATCTCAATTACAACTTCCAAACTATCATCTTGCCGGAAGCGATGAAGACTATCATCACGGAGGAGCCGAGTGTCATGCGAATGATAAGCGAACTCGATGAGATTATAATACTGACCGGAATACCGCTCGGTGATATTCTGGCGCAGCTTGAGATGCATCTCCGATTCACTGTGATGGAGATGGAGAGCCCGCACGCGGTAGTACAGAATATAGTGAATAACATAAGATTACGATTCGAGGCGTTACTGTCGCGACAGGCGGAAGTTCAGGATTTGAATCAGGAGGAAAGTCTAACGCCAGGTCAAATGTTACTAATGGGTTTCAACGGTTTGTTTGAAAAAGTGCAAATGGAAGGTAACGCCTTAGTGACTATCCTGAGTTCCTTGGACATTCCGATGAACTGGAAGAAGATTGATCAGATACGCGAGGCTAAGGAGATGTCGGTGCCCATTTTCAACAAGGCGATCCGACAAGTCCTCGAAGACATATTTCTAATCAAGAGATTGCACACTATACAAGAGTTCTTCATGATGTGCAGGGACATTGCTACTGCATTCAAGGGCGGATTAGCAAACGTATACGACGATGAACGACTTAACAAGCCCGTCCGACTATTCACTGCCGATTACGTTTCAAGACAATTGCTCGGAGTGACGACGCAGACATTGGCGATCACTTTGTGTTTCCTGCTACAGCGAATGGGCCTGAATGTAACTACCGAGATCGAACAGAGAGATATTGGAGCAGAAAGCAAGGTCTCGCTAGAGGAGCTGTGTCGGAAGATGATAGATCTGTGCTTGAAGAGGGGATTGTTCTCGGGTTCGGTCTTTACGCAAGGGAGTGCGTTGAATAGTACTTTGGAAAGCACTTGGCGACGGAAACAGGTTGCTAGATTGGCGCAACAGAGCGCCAAGGTAGCCAGAATCAGTCTTCAAAGACTTCAACTTCAGCAGACAGCTTATCATTGGTTACACGAAGATGTCCTAATGATGAGACCCAATATTAATCCAATGAATCCAATGAATCCGATGCATCCTATAAATCGTTTGAGTGAGTCCTTTAATCGGTCGATATGTCGCTTATTTTATATCGCTACGATTTTTACCTCTCGCGGAACCTCTCGCGATTTAACGATTATTTTAATTAAAATTAAACATCTGTTGTCTGTTTTAACCGAGTTAGAAATAATTTCTTTGTTTCTTTTAGATCGCTCTACCTTCATGCTCGAGTTACGAAAAAAGGCAGCGAAATTGTCAAACTTGCAGTTGCGAGTGTGCGAAGCACGCGAGCAACAACAGAATCTCGTTTCGAGTGCTGTACAACGTCTCAAATGGGCTGCTGGTGCCAATCCAGCACTGGGCGAAGTCATGTCCGCGTTCGACAACGCGGTATTATCGTCGTGCGATAAATTGACTAGACAGCACAATTTAGCCGCAATGATAGTGAACACGTGCAATTCCATACTGCACTATGAGGCCCTGAGAACCAGGACGTCGGAGAGTGTGACGCACGATACCAACCTAGTCAAATTGATTAAGCACTGGGAGGAGAGTTGTGTATTGACGGTCAACCTGAACATTACCGTTACTATGACAGAGGAGAGCCTCGTACAGCTGCTGCAATTGGAGAACAACGTGGATGCCACGTGGTTAAAGCAAGCCGAGAAAATGGTATCCGAAGCGATAATCGACACTCAGAAGAAACTGCAGGAGAAACAAGAGGCTCTCTTCACGGCCGAAGACTATTTGAGGGAGCGAGTGATGGATCTGCAGAACGTACTCACCGAGCATCACCGATTAATGTCGGACGTTAGAGCGTTGCTAAAGACAATGGCCAAGCAGGAGAATATCGACGGTCTGCAGGATTTTCTGTTTGCCTATCGGTCTTTCACGGAGAGTATTTCGGCGGCAGTGAAGGAACTGGAAGCCGAGAATTTCGACTCTGTTCGCGGCACGGCGATGAAGGAAGAATTGGAGGCGATGGCGATCAAAGTGCCCAGTCTGTACAATCGATTGCTGGAGTTTGCGAGTGAGCGCAAATTGAATTCGACGAAAGGCGCGGAGAAGCCAGCAGCAGGCAATCTGCCAAGGAAGAGAAAGAAGAGGAAGAAGGGCAAATTGGTGCGGCAGAACAGTGTATGCCTGAGTCCGAGGAAGGGGACACCGTTGGCCAGAGATCCGACCACGGGCAAGGGTAGGTTCGGTCATCGACTGATGATCTAACAATTCTTTCGTTGATACTTCCCAAGATCGTTCATAACATAATTCTCATCCGTTGTCTCTTTCTTTTCCTATTGTAGCCGTGCAAGAGCGGAACGCCTACGCGCTGAACGTGTGGCGCCGCGTGCGTATGAAACTGGAGGGTCGCGATCCGCAACCGTCACGCAAGTATACCACGGCCGAACAGGTGGAATACGTGATACGTGAAGCACAGAGCAACGATAATCTGGCCTTGTTGTACGAGGGCTGGACACCGTGGGTCTGAACGGACGATGGCTGGCGTTCGCGCGCCCCGATGGCTCGACACTCGTCTCACACGGTACTCAAATTCGTACCGTCGTACCTACGTCGCCCTACGTCGCCGTAGGAGGCAAAACACTCCGCTCGAAACCAGCTGGTGGAGTATCCGGCAAAAACCGGGTAACATGTCGGTTTCACAGCTCGATCGTGGATCGACCTTTCCGACGCGACAATGGAAAATCCACTGTGCCACCGAATGCCGATTCTATAGTTATCTCAAAAACGAGGCCGCGATCTGTTACTTGGCGATAAGGACGGTCTCTTCCCTTTCTCCTCCCTCTCCCCTTCTCCCTCCTCCTTTTCTTTTAAAGGAAACCAGAATCATGAGCATGTACAATCTCGACTGAATACGGATAAGTAGTATTCTTTTGGAAGAGCCACGAATTTTTGGGAGAAATGTAGAATCGGCCATGTATTCTTACGCTAACGGTGTAGTCGCGAGAAGTTCGGCTGACGATATTGATGGCAAGTCCGATGATAACGACGATGACGATGATGAAGATGATGAAAATCTCGATAACGGTCGTTGCGATAAACAGTCGCTGTCAACATTTACCGTATGATGGCTAATAAACGAATTGCACAAACTTGCTGTCGTGTAATGCCATCGTGTCAGGAAGAAAATACATACCTGACATTTTAATCGATATCTGAATCGATATTTGCACCGATGTAACTCTAGATATACGTACGGTGTATACGCGCGAGCACATTTGATGATTAATTTAGAATCCGAGCTGATTATGTAGACAACACATACCCCATTGCAGCATTATATGTTTTAACCGAAATGAAAAAACCGAAATGAAAAGACTCAGTTTTTTTTTAACCGAGATTAAAACAAAAAACTCTGATATTATTGGGTTATATGCAATTGAACAAACTCGGCGCGTACATACATATTAGACGTGCGTGCGTGCGTACGTACGTATTTAAAAAAAATTAAATGATTTCGTGTATAATCTCGCAACTTATTGCCGATTAACAGGACAAAATTAACAAACTTATTTCTGTAGTGAGTACACGTGTAGCTTTTAAAGTTTGCCGCATCAATTTTTCAGTTCTCGGTTTGAGTTTTATGGCGTTAACATCGGACAATCCGGGCGAAAGAAGAAATTCATCAGCTTCGTAACCAACGTTGACGCTCGATATGTTCTCGCTATTCTCTGGCGTCGCATATTTCGCCCAATCATTTTTTAATACTTAAGTAATACTGTCGCGTAATAAGTATTTTCTCACATATTGCAAAAGTAAAATGACGAAAACTCGTTTCTTCTCAAACATTTATCATGAATTTTGGAATTCTATAATTGTGGAAATTTAATTTTATGTAAGTCATTGGGTATTGTAGATGATATGAAATTTTGTAACTGAAACAAAAATAAAATCGGCCAACGCGATCCTTTATGTGGAAGCGCAATGAAATTTTATATGCGTGGCTATACACCTTTGAATTATTTCTAACGTAAAACATTTTGACAAATTTTACACAACGAACAAATTACAATTTTGTCATAGATGGATTTTATTTGTGTAAACTCGGAGAAAAGAACTTATTACCTACCATGTAACACCATTAATTTCATACAATATAAAATCTCTACTTATTACTTGATGCAATATGCTGGAATTAATAAGCACCATGAAAACAAACGAAAATATTCTGTGAGTACTCTTTATTAATTTACCTCTGTCACCCATATTTCTTATCCTTATCGAAAGAACATTTCTGAATAATTTTCTAGATGAAAAAGATCCGAGAGATTTCATCGGAGAAAAACCGTGCGAAACTATGATACTATAAAATAACTGCATTATTACTTTCACAGATATTGGAATGTCTTCGACTCTACGTCCAGTCCAATCATTAAAGTTAGGGTTTCTCTGCCAGCCATATATCGGAGGTGCAATCTCCACCAGGATATCTACGTAAAAATTAACATGTTAAAATTCTTGCAGGAGATAACAGTGTAACATCCTTTGTATTTAAGGGAGAAATAAATTAGCAGCAATTTGATTTACGTAACCAAATATGTTCGATCTCGTCGAAATTAGAATCGAAATAAAAAGTAAAAAAAAAAGCTGAAAAGAGAGAGATTACGAGTTTTTATCTTTTGACAAGATAAATTCCGACAGAGATTAATTTCTTTTAATTCACTTTCATTTCTTTAGAAAATTACAAGAATTAAATGAGACTTTTTCTTTTATAGAGGCAACAAGTTACGGGATATCTCTTACCTCATCTCGTGTGCTAGTAAAATATCGCTTTTATCAGCGCCGAAATCGACGAGAAATTGACGGTCGAGCTCCATTCCGCCCTTCTCTACATCGATATCAAGTTTTACCATCGTTGATCCATATCTAAATAACGCGCCTAATATTATTACAGCGTATACAAGAATACAGATTATAAACGTTGTTCTGTGTTTTACAGAAAGAAAAGGAGAAGAGAAAAGGAAAAATTGCAATGTACTTACTTGAGGAGCTCGGGATAAAATTGTTTGTCCCATGGTTTAAAGATCGACGTAGTTACGTATAAACGACGTCCGTCCAAACTAAGTTGCAACATTTGTGGCGCACCATATAATCTACGTCCTTTCACGTAGACAGGGTCGGGCTGACTGCTCATTTCTTCGTCTTGCATTACACGTACCTGCGAATCGCTCAGTATTGAGCCTCCTAAGAAGACTTGACCCGTTAATTTCGGATTTCTCGTATCAGAAATGTCATATTGTCTAACGTCACCATGCAACCAATTAGACAGATACAGATACTTGTCGTCCAGACTCAGCAGAATATCGGTGATCATACCTAAGAAGCGAAGGAATGAGGCCTTTATGGGAAAAAAAAAGAAAACCAAACAAGCCTGCAATATGTTGAACAACAGGTTGTTCAACATCGATGAGTTTCTACTGGCAATAACTTTAGATATCGCAGACCTCGTTAAAATTTTAAAAAGAAGAGATCGTAATACCTGACATCAGAGGCATGATCCATCCCTCGACTTTTTTCGGTGGTACCTGGATCACCTTTTCGACCTTCCACGAATTGTCCTCCGCTTTATAAAATCGATAAATATTCGACGTTACCGCGCAGCCGACAAATCCTTCGGCTGCCAACGGATCATGGAGGAATCTTATTTCAAGAGGTGCAATTCCGTCATCTCCCAGATTAATGGTCTGTTTTAGCTTCCGTTCGTTCCACGAGTAAACGTTCAAGCTTCTGCCATAGATCTCTGCAAATTATCATCAATCATTTGACGATTCGATATGACTGCATGATTATCGATATTTCGTGTTTCCCCGTGATAAAATTAATTCTTGGATAAATATATTTACTAGGATCATGAACATCCTTCGGGATGTATCCCTTCTTAAAAACTCTAGGTGCACCCCATTCTGTAGCGATGAGCGTATCGTGATACGGTTGGTACCAAAAATCATATCCGAAAGCTGCTTTTTCCTGGCTCTTGGTCCATGTACCTTTCGTTCGTAGGGTCTCTGCGTCGATGCAGAAAAATTCACCTAATCCGTCACCATTGAGATTTCCCATGGTGGAGATGACTATCTCTCCGTTTGGCAGACAATGGGAAGTATGCGGCGTAGATATCCCATGTTTGTGCATCTCTTCCGGTTCCAGAATCTCACGATCATAAGAATTACTTTAGCAGTTGGAAATACAATGTCTTTTGTATAGAAATTTGTATATTCCGTCTGTATATATACACAAGTGTACGTACATATATAGACTCGTATGGAAAGAGAGAATATCAGACGCATTATGATTATATTATGTACATCTATATCCATAATTTCATACGATACCTTCTTGATTTTGGGCATTTTCTCATTGCTCGTATCAACCAGATACACCCGGTCCGACACAAGACAAGGCAACACCAGCGTATCGCGTTTACGATCGGACGATCCGTGACAGCTGCTACAAATATTCCAGCCAGAATGATGTAACTCGTCGCCAACCGTTAGCATTCTCAATTTGTGTATTATCTGCCTTTCCAAGTCTCGTGTTTAAATTCATATTGCTTACAATTATTAATAATTATTCTACGATAACGTAATCAGCTACGTTTTAACGTGTGAAGATTATACCTGACAATACGTCGGACTATCGGGATCCACATCCACCGTACAGAGGACATCGGCCTTCTCAGGGTTCGTGTGTATGCCAATGACGTACAAAAGTTTCTCGCATGGTCCCTCGAGCATCGCCACTTTCGGGCTCCTGTAACCCGGCCCGGAACATGCTACAACGAAGGTCATTTGTCAAGCATTAAAATTATGCTACACACATTTATTTTATAATGTTACTATAACTGCAAGGGATATTCACTGCAATAGACTTAAATTGTTGTTATAACAGAGCACCAATAGATTCAGTAATTATAATTGATCATCTATCGAATTTTTAGTATAGATTTTGATATTATAACGCATTTTATATTTGACTATTGGGCCGATCACACACACACACACACACACACAATAGCAGTACTATTAATACATACTCTGACTATAGTACTGTATTAGTAATTATTGATTGAATTGAATTGAACGCAATCTTGAGTATCTACCTTTTTTTTCCGCCATCGTGTGTCCGGTGTGATGTGACGTGACGTCGTGCAAGAGAGAAACCGAAGAGTGCTTCCGTATTTTTATTGGGACTCGCCGACTCGCGAGTCGTAATGAATTACGAAGCCATTGTTCAAGTACGCAGTTATGATCGAGAAAACAAGAGGGGGAATCTCCTGTGTTGGGAGAAACTCGCACTTTGTCTCTTCGAGCGATTTTATGACTTTGAAAGTTTATTGTTAACGACATTAATGAAGGAATATGTCGTCGAGACGGAATCACTCGTGATAAAAAAAGATCCGATATCACTTTGAGGGTCGTAACAAACTGACTATGAATAACTGTCGATTGAGAATGCTGCAATCACGCAAGATAACGAGAAAATAATATGATCAAAGTTGCAGCAAAATATACATCTCTCACTGTTTCGTAGCGCGCAAACGACACGTAACTATAAATATCAACAATATATTACAACATTTGGACAACGGTATAAAATAATTATCACCGGTATGCTGATAAGAGACAATATTGTTAGCCGGAAAGATAACGTACGTAACGTATAACGGTGTGTTATATAAGTACATCTACAAAAAAAATATATATGTATCCAACAACTATATTTTAGAATAAATTGTAGGATAAATATTTTTTTAAGTTAACAAATTTTAATGAGTTTTTGAAATTGATTGTCTTGGTGGTAAATACAATTTAATAATTGTTCTATGCAAATTGTTTTATGTGAAAAAGATATATCTGATTGAAGCTGCTTCTAGCTTGAAAAATCAGAGTCATTCTCCTATGTATTAAAATATACATATAGTTGTTTAGAATCCAAACGTGATGAAAAGGAAAGCTTAATCGAAGACTACCATTTTTTAACGTAATTCAGAGAGAGAGAGAGAGAGAGAGGGGGGGGAGGGTCGATCGGCGGGTTTTCAACTTGTAAGCTCGCATCTAGATTCTTTTCGCGAGTAATTCACAATCGCGGATTGCTCAACAATTATACGATTATATGGGACAAAGAGAGACAGAAATATATATTGTATAAAGTGGACAAGATACACATAAACGATTTATTGGCATCTTTTTCAAAGAGAGTTATAAAAATAATTACATAATACAATTACACAATCTCTACGAGAGAATAATATTCATCTCTCTCGCGTACGTATGTGTTCATGCATACGCATGTGGCAAGTAAACATTAAGTAAAAATATATACATACAGAGTGATGAAGCGAGTACGTCGAATCATGACGCTGCCCGCGCCGATCCGATTACGTTTGATAACACGTAAATATACCAGATTATACTTGCGCGTGTTGTACTAAATCGCTAGTGTATCGATCCCCTATAAATATATGGTATATAGGTACTATAAGTACGTCAAAAAAACGCTCCAGACTTGTGAAAAGTATTTTAAGAGCTTTTTCGACAAGTTTTTCAAATGAACCTCATCTCTTCCCGATGAGAGTTCCTTTTCGATAAGATCTACATTGTACGTGCGCGTTAATGCCCTTTCACAAAAAGAAACTTTCTCGGCAGAGAAATCAGCGAAGACATTCGTTCACGAATCTAGAACAATCTGTATATTCTATACGGGTCGCATAAATTATAATACTTGACACGTATGTATTTTCCATTTGACATAATATTCTGTGATCGCACGCACGCACGCACGCACGCACGCACGCACGCACGCACGCACACATACATATATACATGTAATCGTTTAGATTTGTAACAACAATATTGTTTCCGTGACAGATAATATTACTCGATCACAGTCATGTTCCATATATATTTCGAATCTATATCTTAATACTTTGGAATCTGAAACAACAGCCATTGCGTCTCGTAAGTGTTCTTGCATGCGTGATCGCGAATTTGTTAATTGGCCCCCACCTTGAACATTTGGTTTATCATAAGTTGATTGATCGACTCGTTGTATCATCTATTAACTAAAAATAGATTCTATCATCTAACATTACGATATGTTCCACGCTACGCCGCGCTGTTACTTTCACAATAGAAATTCGATTCGCTTACGCGAACGGATGATTGTCTTACCAAGTAACAAAATTAATTCGTCGTTCTTACTTATTTACTATAGTATGGTTGGATTTATTTTAATCATTAATCAATTATAAATTGATAGTAAATTAACAACTTGGCTATTAAATTAAATGGGAGACAGATATATCTATTATATATTATATATAGAGTCCTATATATTATACTATATATTATATATAGTCCAAGCATGTGCCTCGAATTCTTAAAAAACATTGAAACGTTTTTACGTACATATATTTTTTAATCGAGAAAAATAAAAATGTATAATGAGACTTGCAAAATTGACAAATTATCAGTACGGCAAATACAGCAAATGCAAGTTAAGCGCGGTAATTATAGAGAAAAATCATTCCTAAATCATTGAGTAGAGATCAATTGAATAATAAAATTTGGCGATGCATATACATATATGATCTAATTATATCTGTATTTTCTTACGTCTGATAAAAAACCTCTCGGATCGATTATCGATGATGGTGCGATGAACCGTCGGCGTCGTCTTCTTTTCTTCGCCATCGTCGCTGATTTTCCGCTGAGCATTTGCTTTTGTCTCCATTTCTCGCCGAGTAACGCACATACCAAGAGATTTTCTCGATGGAGCGCAACCAGTCGTAGCAAGCGATTCCGCGCAATTCCCGTCTGCGCGGCGATGTCACCGAAGTCGCTGTCAAGTCGATCCAAGTGGCCGCTAATGTTAGCGATCATGTCGAGAAACAGGCTATCTCGCTTGCGCGACTCCAGTGCGAGCTTCTTGCTGAGCAGGAAAGTCGTCAGGCCGACGATCGTCAGCACTATTAATCCCAACAAGCTTCTCTGCATCGATGGCAACGTTATTTCCAAGGGATAAATATACCTAAATACGTATATATCTCGCCCTCTCATTGCATCGTCATTCGGTGTCTTCACAGTTTCGATTCAAAGTGTATCTAATAATAATGATCCTCCTCGTTAATGGAGAAGAGAAAATCATTGTACACATGATACTTATCTATATTTTATCTGGCATTCGGCATTGCGCGACGCGCGAATACTATATAGTTAAAGAAAAAGCTGTAATTTAATTCGGGGAGAACAATTAATAATATTTCCAATGAAAATCGTTGGAAACTATGGATGTTTCAAGACATTTCCGTTCGATGATCTGTGATCATTATCCACTTATGATAGAGAGAGAGAGAGAGAGAGAGAGAGAGAGAGAGAGAGAGAGAGAGAGAGAGAGAGAGAGATTTCGATATATTCTTGTGGACACGTATAAACAGTCTCTCTATTATTTTCCATGACTGGATGATACCGTCCAGTTAATTAAAATTCAATCAAATAAATTGAGAGATACGGATACTGCAGTGACGACTGATAATAACTGTATCCGGATATCTAACTTGCGTTTTTCTCGTTAGTATCAGTTAAACTGAAAACTACTTGTTTTTTCTTTGTTTCTCTTTTTCTCTCTCTCCTTTTCTCTCTTTTCTCTGAGGGGATACTCTCGGTTTCTGTTCTTTTTACGGCACGAATGCCTACGGTTTTTATCTATTATTAAAGGCGAGGCGCGGCTGTGCTTCGGCATGCCACCCGTTTTGCTGCTGCTTAACGATATTAGCCAATCGAACAACAATCGAGATTTCTCAAAATTCTTCCAAGTAGATTTACCTTCAATCGGTCGAATCTCTATCCAAACTCTTGTGCTCCATCGACTTCCCTCGAACCATTAATTATTCATATTGTATCATATTTGCACCATGACAAAATCTTCAAATGTGTCGGTGAAATTATGTGAGGTACGTTTGATGTATTTGTAGAAATATAATAAGACTCTGTAGATGATCGTATTCCAGCATGTAATAAATTCATAGTGATTATTTAGTTTTAGATTATCCAGTTTTGAGTGGCAAACATTGCAATAAACTAAGACAATGTGCGAAAAGATAAGAGTTATCCTTTGGTACAACGACAATCGTGGCTGCTCCTTATTTAGGATATTCAGACAGATGCAGTTAATTAGAATCCATATAAATGTAGGCCTATCGCGGCGTCTGTCATAAATCTCTTGCTCTGATGGATATTGGATCTTGCCATCTTGGGTATCGATCTTGGATACTGATCTTGCAGGATACGTATACGATGAAACTTTTTTGTTAGATGTTACACGACGAAATGTCATCCGCTTTTAACGATCGTAAGAATTAAATTTGCACTGCGATGATGCCGCGAGATGTATCGGCACTCGTACTTATCGAACGTTGCATGATCGGATTGAAGACACTCTGTCTTGTATTCGTCGCAACAATACTCGCTCCACGTGTAGGCGCGGCCATCCTATATCTGCGAGGACACGCGGCCATCCCCGAGCAACCCCGATCAACACATCTTCAGGGACGTAACTTTCTCTTTAACGTCCACGCGCGGGTATGCAGATCATTTCGATCACTGGTCGATCGCGTAGCGTACATTAATTGTAAACATTTACATTTATCGCCCTTCTTGATCTATATATCTTTTATTTGTTAACTTGGATCATGTCCTAACAACATTGAAAAATTTTATTATATAAAAATAACAATCGCAGCTAAAATTCTATATTCTTTCCCAATGTTGAGTAGAATTTAATGATGACACGATAATTGTTCCGTCCCGGAATACGATCACGTGTCTCGCAGTTTCTCTTCATTTTCTTTTGCTGATTAAAAATTTATATAAGAGAAGTCATAGTCGCAACACCGATACCTCGCAAGAGACGTTGGGAACGATACTGACAATGAGAAATCGAAAACAACCGCGATCTAGCATGCGTGGCAGGATAGTTGGCGCATGCGTCTATTAATCAATAAGAGACCTGCACCCCCTACATCCCTTTGCTTTGTCGTGACAGATGACTTGGAAACATTGTTGGTGACATACAATGTCGCTGCGCTTGGCTTAGCGCCGAGACATTACCGTGTCTCCAGATATGACTGATGGAGATTCTTCTAGAATGAAGATATCGTTTATTTACGGGAAATTTCTCAGATTGAGCGTACTAGCTTGCTTATCATTGATATAAATAATCATAAAACTGCGATCGTGATCACTTGCAGGTTTTCTCCAGCGTAATGTCGAGCGATGGTGGTATTTCTCTTAACGAAATTTCGGCATATTTTCGAGAAGGAAGAAACCTAGAAAATTAAATTGAATTAAATTGAGAGACTCTACATCACACAAAGAAAGCGTCAATATCGTGATAATGTCTAGGAAGCATGGGCATATACATATACAGGATTTTTTTTCGGGAAAATAATATTTTTAACAACTTATTCTGTTGTCACATACAGCAATTTTTTGCGTTAATCAATTGCTTTTTTTCTATATATTTTAGAGCTTGGATTATCTTCTTCCCGTTCCTAATTTTGAAAGAATATATTAGGTTTTGTAAATCATAACTTTTTTCTCGAAAAAAATATATATAGACAAAATATAGCCATTAAAAACGAAATATGTAATGTTATATGGGTGGAGTACTCTAATATTTCAGCGCATATTCTGTTTTCCAGTTCTTGCCGGAAATCTTGCAAAAATTTTCTTTATACATTATCGGACAGTGTGTCAAGTGTCAAAACTAGCTAACTAAAAGGAATTACTTTTGAGAAATTATTTACATAGTCGTAAGAGAAAAAGTTATTTTATACGATAATAAGAAAATTACTCACAGTAAAAAAGAAAGTTGTATTTCTTTATAATTAAAATATTTCGCGAGGGGAGATTTAAACCCCCTAAATCACTCTCTTGCACTTCTGAATATGCCCATTCCCAGGAGTATTTTATGCATGCGTAACAATTACAGTTTGAGATTACAATTACCTCAGGTATGTATATTATATACAGAGTTGGGAAGTAACACGTTATTTGTAACGCCGTTACTTTTTTCGGTAACGATGATTACTTTTTTTCTGTCTTTAACGGTAACGTCGTTGTATTTTTGCAATAACGATAACGATTCAGTCGTTACTTTTATTGTTACTTTAATTTTTATTGAATGGGTCGGATTGCATCATATTTCGATATTGCTGGTACTGAAAGATGTTTCGCTTTTGTGTACCTAAAAGTGTTTAATTACTCAAGTTGTGGCGTTGTCGTAACAAATGAGCGAAATACTTTTAAATGCTTGTGTGTAAATACATAAATATACAGGGTGTTTGATAAGTAACGATAAAACTCTCGCATAGGGGTAGATGAGCGGACTAAATAACTGAGTCTATAAGTCCTCTACCATTTTGCAATTTTTGCAATAGTTAACAAGATATCAATTATTACTAAAAATTACCGAATATTGGTTTTTAATCATTTTTTACTCAAGTACTATCAATTTTACAGAAAAACAGCAAGAGACAAAAATTGTTTAGTTTCTTCTTACAAAGCTCTAAGAATTTTTTCAGAATTTTTTGTCAACTTTTTAGTACTGTGTTTTCTTATTGGCAACTATTTTTACCAACATGAGAAGATGAGTTACTAAAAAAATCTGAAAAAATTCTCAGAACTCTATGAAAAGAAAATTAATATTTTTTGTCACTTGCTGTTTTTCTGTAAAGTTGATAGTACTTGAGTAAAAAATTATTGAAAACTAATATTCGGCGATTTTTATTAATTAATATCTTGTTAATTATTACGAAAATTGTAAAATGGTAGAGGACTTTTCGACTCATTGTCAATTTAGACCGTTCTACTTCCACACACACATGCGAGAGTTTTATCGTTACTTAAATCAAATTCTGTACATTTACAATGTAACTCATGTTGACGGAATACTTAACATATTAATTACACATATGTATTGCTGAGGAGGACTCCAAAGTGAGTCGAAACGTTCAATAAAGAGGATTCTATACATTAATGATTAATTAAGATTGAAATTAATCGTTGGCACCTTCATCAGCCCGTGACTCGTATGGCCTTTACGGATTGTGTTATTATTATTTTTATTTTAAGAATTTCGAGTCTACAGAAATTGTTTACAATGTAACATTGTATTATGCATGATAAAAGATTATTATTTCACATCGTTTTCTAATTTAAGTTTATGATTAGTTTTTTTCTGATATAATAATAAATAGGATTTCTAAGATAAGTTTTTCTCAATCAGAAATATGCCACAACATATTTTATATCTTAGAAAAAGGTATTGATTAGATAAATGATTCCCACACGCCGCGATGCATTGGTGCGCAGTGATGTCATAGAAATCACAAGGAGGAAAAGATTTTGCGCTTTTACGTTCAATCTTCTATATTTCTGTGTCATACAATACATAACATCAAAGACTCTCTCTCTCTCTCTCTCTCAAGTCACTATAATAAATAATATGTATTTGTTTAGAATTTTAATGACCCCTAAGATTAATTAAATTTTTAAAAAATGTAAACAAATTTTATCAAATTCATTTTACTTTGTCATTATAAGTAAAAAACTTAATTAATAATTTGAAAATTTGTGCGATAAAAAATAATTTTTAAATACACATTCCTTTCTTTAGAGCATTTTTTCAATTTCACAGAGCATATTTTAGGCGCTTAAAAAGGGATTTTTACAGCATAATTTTGGGATATGTTCCTTCCTTTAGAGCATTTTTTCAATTTTACAGCATATTTTAGGCGCTTAAAAAGGGATTTTTACAGCATAATTTTGGAATATATGCTTTTCTTTAGAGCATTTTGTCAATTTCACAGAGCATATTTTAGACGCTTAAAAAGGAATTTTATAGCATAATTTTGGTTGCCCTACTTAGAAGACTGCATTCCGGTAGTTATTATTAGTTGAAAATTTGTAATTCACATTACATATATAGGTACTACGGATTTTCAGTAGTGGAAGTGAATACTGTGTGGATTTGAAATACATTTTTAATAATGATATTAAAGTTTAAAAACAATATTTAATTTAAATTTTGTAATTGTGGAATTTAGCTCCCGACATTTCTGCTCGATTGTTTCTGCTAAATTCGGTTGTTTTTTTGTACAAAAACGCGTTGAATAAGCCTAATTTGATCAACATCGTATGTGAGGGAGTTAACTCAACAATTTTCCGAAAAGTAACGAAAAAATAACGATTCGTTACTTTTTCAAGTAACTGTAACGATAATGCGTTATTTTTTTAAGGTAACGTTCCCAACTCTGATATTATATATACAAGCAGATTCAATTTATAAAAAACAATATATATTATATACATATATGCATATACATATGTATAACTATAATACTTCTCTGGGTACGTTGTAATTGAAGATAGGTATCTTCTTCTTTTAAACTAATTTAAACAATAAAAATCTTATTTTTAGACCATACTATGTGAGAAACACAATTAATAATAGAAATTTATAAAAGCCTATATCTCTTTTATAAGCCTATATATTCTTTTTTTAACTCATTACTCGGAAAACAAACAATTGTATTAAAATTTGACATAACGTTCGTACACATAAACGTTATGTTATAATTGGAAATATATATGGTATCGTACCTTTTCATTATCGGCGTAATATGATCGGGATCTACGCCCTCGAGATCTATGCCGAAGAAGTAACTCGCGATAGTGCCGACGACAACAACGATTGTCGCTCCTATCATGATATAATATATGAAAGATATTTGAAAGAGTATCATAGGTTCCTCGCCAGAGTTCATCCAAGTAGACCTCGTCGTGGTCGAAAAAGTCTGATTTAACGGATACAGGCAACCATCCACCGACGTGGGTAACGAATCATATTTAATCCTATCATGCATGGTGTGCCATTGAGTGCCTCCTACCAGCCAAAGCATGCTGATCACACCAATGCAACCGCCGAATAACGCACCTTTCGCGTTCGCCCAGGGTACTAGCATTCCTAATACGAACAGGCCCAACGAGGGTCCGTCGGTGATGCCACGCGTACTTACAGCTATTTGGAAGACTGGTCCTAGCCGTTCGACCAGAAATACCAGACCAACTGAAATCGCGCCGGTTATCCCAACGACGCCCTGAGAAATGTTCATTACACGCACGCACATACATACATACACACACGCGCGTGCGTGCGTGCGTGCGTGCGTGCGTGCGTGCGTGCGCGCGCACACACATACACACATATATATATATATATCGATTGATAGATTAATCATAAATCTTAATCCTCAACTTTTTAAAAAGACTCGATAAAAATTATGTTAACATGCACCTTCATAATGTTGGCAGCTGTAGCTTCCTTCTTGGGGCTATCCGGGATCCAAGGTTTTATAAAATCTTCATAAATGGTACCGGACACGGTGTTCAAACTGGCGCTCATAGTCGCGAGCGCAGCGCTCACTAGACCAGCTAGGAATAATCCCGGAAGTCCTGGCAGATGCCCAGCAACGTCCATTACGTAATACGGTAGAGTCTGGTCGGTACGACTTATCGACTGTTCGAACAAAAAAATTCATAATCTTCTGCGAACGAAATATTATAATTACGTGTAAGGATATGTATGAATAGATATTAAGATTTTAACCTATCAGATACCAGTTACA